GCACAATGCAAACTAACTAATGCATACAGATATCATATAATACACATCATAATTACATACCTATTGAACCAATCATTAACATATTTATCATTACTTATTTCCTTGTCATTAATTTTATTCTATCATCTGAGTATATATTTGACATAAACATATAATATAACTCCAAAACACAATAATACATGAATAAATACTAATGTCATATCATGCATAATCACATATCATCTCTTATCACAAAACACATATGCACTTATTATCATTATCTTCTTTTCTATTATCATATGATTCTGAGCTTATCATTTATAACAGTCATATAGCACAAATATCATTTCACCAAGAACACATATATTATCATAACACATATTTATTATCTTTAAAGCTCATGCCATCTTTTGAGAACTTAAGATATGTGAGTACATAGAGGTTGTGCACAATGTTGTCACCACAGCTAGTATAAATCCCACTAGGGGCGCGTAGAAATTTGTCCCGAATGACCATTGTGTCCCAAAAGACCACTGTGTCTCGAAGGACCACTGATAATCCCTCGACTCTTGGCATGCCAACTATACCTATAACTCTCATAACACACGACATGGGCATTACCTTTTATATCTTTTCACATCTTCACGTAGGCACATAGTTCACTTTTACATAACATATTTCCATGTAACTCATATTCACTTATCACATAGCTTTTCACCTTTACTTGTATTCTTTTTCACATAGCTCATAGTCCTGATTCTTATCTCATAACACATGTTTGCATATACATGTTCTCATACAATCCCTTCATTCAATTATCACATACATAATATATCATATGACATTCTAATAGAAACTCATATGAGTCATATTATTTTTACATATATTTTATCATATATCTTATGATCACACGACCTATTATCATAAATACATGCATTTATATAGTTTACACATAAAGATTCATTCAACCATTAGACATATACATTTACCCATATACCATACATCTAACACCATATCACTACATGTTTATGCTTTAGTACTCATATCATATAATATCGGAATTAGACTTATCGCAAGTCTTAATTCCTTAACATAGCGTTCACTTAATATCATGTACTCACCTGGTATCCAATAACACTACCAAGCTCTTGCTCTTTCTTGCGTATCTTACTCTAACAACCTATCCGAACTTTGCTTTCGATCGATGTCTACACAATCATATATTTATACTATCAGTATCCAATTGATATACTATAATCCATCAGTTCTTAGACTGAAAGAAAGATTTATTCCATTTCCCATTGAAGTGCATCGGTACATTATATAGTGTATCGATGTATCCCTTAACATGTGCATCGATGCACTACTCATGCATCGATACACAAATCACCTTCGATGTTTTCATTTTAAGGGGTGCATCGATGCACTCCTTATGCATTGATGCACTAAATGCATTCGATGTTTATTTATTTGAGAGTGCATCGATACACATTGAAGATGCATCGATGCACACAACCCATAAATTCCATTTGAGCACGAAAATGTCTTACTTTGTCTTCAAATTCTACTTATTAACCCCTCCTTATACCTTAAAACTTATATATACATATATAAACCTTCTTATAACACTATAACACTTCACCATCTCTCATAATTCACCATAATTCTTGAATAAAATAATTTCATCAAATTTTCCATGTGTTCTTAATTCAATTCTATCACCTCTAACTTCTTAATTAACCCTTTGACAAGTCAAATTCATCCTTAGAACTTCAAAAACCTTTCTATAACAAAAGTTCATTTCTAAACTCTTAATAGAAATTCCTTTCTATTTTTATCTTCTTGGTGTTTTAAGCTTATATAAGCTTTACTTAAGCTTATATAACACCCAAATAATCAAAATCTACTTAATATTCAAGAAATCAACAACTAAAATCAAACTTACCCTTAACAATGAAAGCCAACGTGAAGAAGAAAGAAGAAGAAATAAGCTTTCCAGAAAACTCTCCCCATCCCCACGTGTTATCTTCCTAAATAAGGGAGATAAAAATATCCTCCAAGCTAAATTACTATAATACCCTTATAATCCTTTCATAATTACCCTTTTATCCAACACTGAAATATTCTTATTAAATTCTTAAACTTTTCAATTTTCCTAAATTGATCCCCAAATTTCAAAATTCTCATTTTAGCCACTGACCCAAATTTCGGGATGTTACACCATATATCCTGAAGGACATAGGTAACTCTCGACTCTTGGCATGCCAACTATACTTATAGCTCTCATGACACGTAACATGGGCATTATCTTTATACTTGTCACATATTCATTTATTCTTGTCACATAAGCATACTCACATATACATGTAATCACGTAGTTTATTTTCGTGTAATTCATGTCACTTTTCATATATTTTCATATTTATATGTCACATAACTCATATTACTTCGCATGGTTTCACCTAAACATATATGTCATATCATGTTCACATATATTTCCCATATAACTCATATCAAATGATTAATACCTTATTCTTATATCATCACATGTATCATCTATGTTCATTCACATATACACTGACACATATACTCACATATATCATGTAACATATACAATAACCAATAACACATATTCAAACTCATGTTTATATTCATGAATTCATGCATACTACTATAGGAAATAGACTCATCGCAAGTCCTATTTCCATTAAACAACATACATCACTAGTATGCACTCACCTAGCCTCACTAGTCAATTCGAGCACTTATAACTCTTTCTTGATCAATCGTATCTCTTTGAATAATACTTGTTGACTTGTCCGGACTTTGCTCTCGATCGATATCTACATAATCATACATATAATATACATATCAACATTCTAAATCTCATAGTTCGATCCTTAATTTCTTAGACCAAAAGAAAGGCTTAATTCTATTTTCTACTTCGATTAGTATCGGTACCCCTGTAGGGTATCGATACTTCCCTAGTTGTGGTATCGATACCAAGCCTGGGAATCGATACCCTCTTTGCATTCGAAATCCTTGTTTCAAAACCGGTACCGATACTGATCTTATGGTATCGGTACCCTTGGAATCAATACTACCTTCCCAGGTATCGATACCCCAAGAACAATTTATAAATTTATGCCTTAAGGTATCGAAACTCAATCATATGGTATCGATTCCCTCACTCAAATTTTGACCCTTTTTTCTATTGGAAGTATCGGTATTGGATGAACAATACCGATACCCCATGTCCATAATTCATCTTTTTAGCTCGAAAATTCACCGAAACTTACTTATATCTTATATTAAAGCCTCCTTTAAGTCTTTAAGCTTAACTGCACTTATTCTAATCAACTTAGATCACTTTAACTCATCCTAATATCCAATATCCCACTTACATACTTGAATTCAATAATCAAGCCAATAATTCAACATGTTCTAAATTCATTTCTATCACTTCATACTTCTTAATAATACCTTTGACAAGTCAAATATGACTTCTAAATCCATTAACAACCTATTTTCCAACAATTCACTTAAAAACTCTTATATTCAATCTTTCATAACTTATCATTCTTTAAGTTTAAGTAATCTAAAGCTTCCCTTAAGCTTTTCTATCATCTCTAGAATCAAAACCAACTTAAAAATGAAAGGAAATCTTAACTTGATACCAACTTACCTTATTCATGGTGACACGGGAAGAAGAAGAAGATAGCTTCACCCATCTCCTGACTTTTCTTTTCCTTTTTCCTTTTAATCCCCACGTGTTTTATAGCCCACAAAATAAAGATAAAAATATTCTTGTTAAATGATCATTTTATCCTTCTTTCTTTCCATCTTTACTAATCAATCCTACTCACATAATTTTCGATTAAATCCCTGAACTTTTAACTTATTTCAAAATTGAACACAAAGTTTCCAAAATTTATATTTTAGTCACTAGCCCTATATTTGGGATGTTACATGAACTAACTTAATTTGTTGTTTGCACACATCAAACTTTTCTCGAATTTGTAGATATCTAGCATGCATGGTTATGTATTTGAATTATTAAGCTCTTTATGTTACTTAAATCAACTGATTAATTTCATGTTTACTTATTATTTATTTAAACAGTCATATTTATAAAATATGAAAACAAATATATTAATTTTTGAAGTATACAATTGAATCCTAACTGAAATTTCTTAGATGCTCATAAAAATGTCTTAAGATAAAGAGTTCATGTCTCATCAAATATAAACCCTTTAATTTAATATATGAGAGGTGTTTTGATTTTGGGTAAATTATATGAATAGTTACTTTTATTTTTTATTTGACCAATTTTGGTCAGTGATTTAAAAATTAAATGTGTTTGATCTTTTATTTTATCGGTTCGTTCGATGTGACCTTTAATTTTTCTTTTACTTTTTTGTGTGACTCTCGATAGAATTTGAGAAATACAAGGTAGATCAAAAACAAGATTCATTGTAAAAAAAAATAAGGGTAAAGTATACAAATAAGGGTGATGTTTTATTGAGCCCCTCGACTATTAAAAGTTCAAAATGGTCTTCGATTATAAGGTATTGCTTGGTTGAGTCATCTAACTATTAAAAGATAAAATTGTCAACTGACTATTTAGTATATTCTAAACTCGTCATTTTTCGTTAAGAAATTGATGACAGTTTGAGCTAGATGATAGCCTGATGACTGAGATATGATAAAATATTATATCATAATCTCAAATAACAAGTTAACATCCAACCCAAACTGTTGTCAATTTTTTAACGAAAAAGAACGAATTTAGAACATACTAATTAGTCGAACGATCATTTTGTAACTTTTAATAGTCGGAGACTCAACAAAATAATATCTTATAATCGAAGGGACTATTTTGCAACTTTTAATAGTCAAAAGATTAAATAAAACATCACCCTATAATCGATTAACTATTTATGTACTTTACCCAAAATTTAATCAATTATCTAACAAATAATATTTTACCAATCATTGTATTTAGTATGTATCACTTTTCGTGTCTATTAAACATATTATACTCAGATTCATAAGGAAAGAGTTTGTACAACGGCAAACTTGGCATTGCCTCTATCAACACGTCAACAAAACCCCCCACAAAATTACATAGATTTCTATTTTCCAAATAAGAAAAAAGAACTCCTAATCTGAATCAGAAGTAGAATCTGATTTATCATCATCTAAATGTTCTTTTTCCTTTGCTTCGGCTACCTTAATTTGCTTACTCAACTCATCAATCGGTATCAACGGCAGATATCCAAACAAAGGGTACCCTTTCCCACTCATGTCATTAACGAAACCGTTATACTTACCGCACAAATTAGCCGCCGTCGGAACAACCTTCTCAGCCATCGCGTGGAAAGCGGAGTTGTGATTCAGTTTAACCCACAACTTGGTTGAGTATACCACAACGAGCTGCTTGTACTCCCCCGCGGCGCAGCACAACGCTCCTCGCGGTCCATTGGTTCGAGCCTCGTGGCCTAGCTTCCGAGCATGTTGTGCTGTCTTCTGAACCAAATCTTGGGCTTGGTAAATCGCTTGCTTCGCTTTTGCTGGAACATGATCCTCAAATTTTTGTGAAGCCTCATCTACCTGCAATTATTTTAATTAATATCGTTTTAGCTAAGATTTACTACCAAGAGCATAATCGAGCCGAGCTAAAGTTTTAAAATTCAAATTTGATTCAAAATTTGAATCAAACTCGATCGAAAATGATTTTCGAATCATGTGAAACCTCATCTACATGCAGTTATTTTAATTAATCTCGTTTCAAAGTCGGAAACAGATTGGCTCACATTTCTTTTTACAGTTCCCAAATTCAGTTTCAGAAAAGGTTTACTACTAAGCTTAATCAAACCAAGTTGAACTGAAGTTCTAAGAAGTTTGAATTCAACTCAAAATTCGTATCTCGAAGATCGAAACTCAGTTCAAACTTGATTTAATTTTATTTTTAATGTTTGAACTAGGTTTAAAACTCATTCGACTAGATCAAATTCATTTACTTATTAAGATAAAGCTCGATTTTCATACTCAACCCTAAACTAAATTAGGTTAAAAATCCAGCTACCAAGTTCAATCATTCAATTACTTAATGAAATTAAACAAGAGAAAAAAGAGTGAATTCCAGGAACACTTTAAATCCAGAACAAGGAATTATAAAGAACTGAATTACCTTCTTATCAAGAAAGACGAGAAGAAGATCAGGAACATTCTTAAATCTCTCGTAGACGGGACTAACGGCGGTCGTAACGGCGCCCTCGACGGTTCCTACGGTGGATCTCAACGGACCGGAGTTCTGTTTGGCGAACTCGTAAAGGTACGAAACGTAAACCAGGGTGCGGATCGCAGCCACTCTCACGAATCCTAGGTGCTTCAGTTCCTTATTCTCAAACTCTACCTCCTAAAAATTAAAAAATATTTTTAAAAAAGTTCGAAAACAATAACCTTAACTATTCCAATCATAGAAAATAAAAAAAAGGAACAAAATAGAAATACCATCGTTTCCGTGCTTACCATCTTCTTCAGCTATGATTCTTGGTAGATTTTCTTTTTCTTCTTAAAAAAGTTTATGAAATTTGCATTAATTTATAGAGGTACGCACAGAGATTAATTAATGTGGGGTAGTTGATAAGATCCAACGGCCAATATTGGATTTAAGGATGATGGGGGAATCTTCAGAGTGAAGTGGGGGTTCTATAGAAGAAATAGAGGATTCCAGATGGACACGTGGAAAGCTGGAGAATATAAAATCAAATAAAATATTTTTTATAAGACGTTTATCCATATTGTTTGACACGATATATAAGATTAACACATATCCAAATAATTATAATTAAAAGCGATATATATATATATATATAAATTTAAATATAATTAAAACTGATATATATATATATATATATATTATGAATTTGTACTAATTTTTTAAATAGTTTATAATAATTATAAGGTATATTTATTTAGAATTTTATTAGTCTATTGACAATGTGTATGTACTATACAGAATCAACTGTTCGAACTCAGATTATCTAGGGAGAATAAATTTCTTTTTTATCACTGAAGTCTCTTGATGAGTTTTTTGTATTAATTTTTTTGAAAAATATGACGTGATTACAAGATAATATCTATTCACAATCTTTCTTAATTATTGACAACACACACATACTACTGACACAACTATTCAAACTTATTATCTCAAAAAAATAACAAACTCTCTTTAAAGATTAAGATTACTCATTGAATTTCTTTATATTAATTAATTAAATATGTCTCTATGCAAATATGTCTTGTCATTAATTAACTAATATGGTAAAAATGTAAATATAAAAAATCTTATGAATTTTTAATATTGCGTAATTTTATACATAAATTTTTATTTAATTAATTTTTCTAAAACTAAAAATACTATTATTCATGTAACATCATTTGAATTTTTACTTAAATTAAGTAATTATATTTATATCATATATAAAAAAAATTGAGTAATTTATTTTTATTTTTAAAAAAATAAAACTACAATATATTCATTAGCCAAATAAAGTAGGATAACAACCTATTACCATATACATATGAGATAAACACATTTATAACTATCATAAATAAAATATAACAAAGAGCAACCAATGATAATCTAATGAGCAAGAGCCAGTTGAACCAACAACACACAGAGACAAAACACTCCGACATTCTTGAGCACCTAACATAGAGAAGGAAAACTTGAAGAGTATCCATAGCTGATGAATGAAAAATCAATCCTCCTATAATTGTAGTATCATTTGACACATTTATATTACAACCATCGGAATGTCACATACAAATGAACGAAGAAACTATACATCTAGAAAGCAAGCAACCAAGAAATTTCATAGAATCACAAACCAAGAAGAAGACCAATAGAGGAAACCTGCACCAAAAATCTAAAAATACCAGTAGCCATGATACTTTTTACAAGATAAAGGAACAAAATAACGTGTTACTATAAATATAATAAAATATGACTAAAATTTTAAAAAAAATCAAACTACAATTAACCGGAAAATGATAAAATGAAGGAAATAAATGATAGGGAAGTGGCCGGAAAAGTCACGATCACTACTCTTAATGTAAAGGAATATTACAACCGCCGAGTATGAAAAAAAAACTGCAACACATCAATATTGTGGGAAAAATAACCCAACCTTAGTAATTTATTTATTTAAATATATATAATTGACTTAAAATAAAAATCTTATGAATATATTTAAACTAAAGTAAAACTTTTATTGTATTTATATAATAGTACAAGCAGAAGGAAAAGACTGACCCATTCAGTAACTTTCGCGATCACCCTCATTGAATCGACTTGAATATGAACTACGATTCTTCTCAAATCTTATTGAAATCCAATTTCTTTTTCGTGCCATATGTGCTTATACTTACTCCCCTTACTTAATTCTTCCGTGTTCACTATTTTTCCCCTCACCTCCTCCATGATTATACATAATTATAATGCATGTATGGAATTACAATTGAAACAAAATCTATACATAAATTTAATATTTATATGTTTAATTAACTTAAACACAATTATATGTTTATATTATTTATATTTTAACAATTCACCTTTCATATTTTAAAAGTAATCATGTCAATATGATAATGAAGGGCAAAATGTCCGAAGAGGATGGCCATGTTTGTCAAGCCGCCAACAAATCAATTTTTAAATGCGCATATAATTATCAACGTTGAGAAAGTGGAGCAGAGGGTTTAAACAAATGCTACAGAAAATGGGTGCTTTTCTCATTCATTAAAACTCAGCTTTATACACAAAATACAATGACGAGTTGGCGATAAGCACCTCATAACAACCTACAGTCCACTAACAGAGTCTGCTGAGCTGTTAAGCCTTCACCTACACGCTACTTCATTCAACAATTATCAATATTCAATTAATTAATTTAAATTAAATCAATATTAATTATAAGAATAATCTTATAATTTAATATCCTTTATTATAATATTAAAATCTAAATTTTACTAAACTGATTGATAATTTATAAGAATGACTATATAGAAGAATCGATATGAATAAAATTTGAATATAATTAAAAAAAAAAACAAATTAATTTTAAAGTTGACTTGATTGATAATTGAAATCATTTGAGTTCATCTTTAAGAAAAGGAAACCCTTTTTAGAAAACATATATGTTGCGGACCATACTAGTGGAAGGCACGAGTGTTGGTTGATGATGCAATTTCCTTTTTATCCATATTAAAATGAAAATAATTCGATTTAGTTCTTTTGTTTTCCTTTTATTAAACATAAAATTATATTTTTTTGATCCCTCTTAAATATTAATAATAAGGTTTAAATCCGTTTTATTATATATTTTTACTTTAACCTTCAATTTTTTAAAGTTTATACCAATCCCCAATCACAAAATTATTAGTTTGGTTCTTGCTAATGTTATTTGGCTTTTCAAGGAGTCATCTTCACTAAAAAAAAAGCAAAAAAAAGACTAAATGATAGAATCAAATAAAAGTAAATTGATGTATGTGATTAAAAATTAGAAATAACGGAGTTTAAAAAAAAAGTAATCTCAATCATTAATTTGCACTCACCCGATGATTCTAAATCAATATTTATTTTTATTTTTACATACACGATCCCCTTGCATTATATAAAGTTGATTAATTTTACAAGAAAATAGAATAATTGAATAAATATAAATAAATGATTACTATTAAAATTTTATATATTATTCAATATTACTCGTTTAAAATCACAGAAAAAGAAGTTAAAGGGATTTTTGCATTTGACATTGCGTGAGTATTTAGAAGTATAGTGCAAAGCATAGGAAGATATTGGAATTATGGACCTTTTAAAAGCCGATATCTTAGGATACCTATCATGCTTAAAGTTGTTGTTTTTTTTAAAAAATATATATTCTTTATATCTATTTTGCAGTATATTCATATTCGTTTTTTTTCTGATAACATCATTTAAAATTTGAATATGAATTAAAATGTAACTTGTCCCATTATTACATCAAAATTTATTCGTAACAAGTTCAATCTTTTTATAAAATAATCATATTTATGTAACAATGGTCGATTTAAAAAATTATATGTGACGACAAATGATATCATAATATATATATATATATATATTACTAAATTCTTACATATGAAAGTATTAGTTTCATAGATCTTCCGTCAATAATTCTAAAGCTGCTTGAAAATGATATTAAGAGATTGTACATCTCTCGATTTGTAAGAGTGTGATTTTATTATATATTTTTTTTCTTTTATTAAAAAGAGATATGTATATATATATAGGTTTTAATAATTAACTGAAAATAAGTACTTATAAAACTCAAATTAATAACTATAATTAACTCATGGTTTTAGTTCTTTCCATGAATCCACACCCTTTTGTTACATAGTTTTGGTTGATTATTATTCATAATTTATAATACTATTTTTCTACATAATTATTAATTATATTTTCTTGTAATCACGAAGCGTGTTGTGTTGTCCGGGGAATGACTCGACACGTTAATGGCTTCTTCATTTCAAGAGAAAGCCTCAGCATTTCCGATAGATCAACTTGCTTTGTTGTCGTCGTCGGAAGCCACTTGAAACAATGGAGCAACCGTGCAAGCCACAGTTGCACGGTAGCCAAACCTAGTGCCTTGCCGGGACACACCCTTCGACCCGATCCAAAGGCGCGAGCCTAAGATCTGAACCCATGATGGAAATGTCCTCTTCTAAAAATCTTTCTGGCCTAAAAGTCCAGGGATCTTTCCAGATCGATGGGTCATGAGTTATGGCCCACATGTTGACCATTGCTGTCGTGCCAGCTGGGATGAAGGACTTCTCGACGTGGACGTCGTGGGTGGCGAGACGAGCCCATGAAAGTAGAGGACCCGGTGGATGCAATCGAATGACCTCTTTCACCGCCGCCTGAAGGTACGGTAAATTCGGGATATCGGAATCACAAACATGACGGTCACAATGTCGACCGATACAATCGTCAAGCTCTTCTTGAATTTTAGCTTGAATGTCTTGGTGCATAACCATCCTCGCCATGATCCATTCTAGTAGTATAGCGACCGTATCAGTGCCTCGAAATATCATTTCCTATACAAAAGGAAGATATATATAATTTAGGATCCACTTACACAATGTAAAACTCTTTAGTATGTATATATTATTATGAAATTTCTATGTTTAATAGTTACAATAGCATTCATTAAATAATTTAATTTTTTTAAAAATTAAAAGATAAAGTTGTCAAATTATCGTATTTTTCATCGATAAGACTGAAGTATCTAAAGATTGTAAAGGGAAAAATCTACTTTGAAAAAGAATTAAGCATTGCAGTGATATCACTACCATTCTTTTATCCCAATCATTGAAACCTAAGGTCACTTTTATCAAAGGAGAATATGATTGTTTTGAGTTACAAAAATCCAGTCTTTTCGATATAAAATCTTTTATTTTTTCAGTAAATCATTTGAATTCTATCTAATTTTTATAAAATAAAGTTACAGACATATATATTCTTTTATTCAAAAATATAAATCAAGTTTACATAAGAAAAATTATTTTTTTATTAAAATTTTTGAAG